AGTAGCTGGGACTATAGGCCCCCACCACAACGCCTGGCTATTTTTCGGTTGCAGCCATCATTGTTTGGAGGGCCCGGGCTGGATTCAAACCTACCACCTTAGGTGTATGTGGCTGGCGCCTTAGCCACTTGAGCCACAGGCGCCGAGCCACTGCTAAGTATTTTGAATTTTTTTTTCTTTTTTTGGAGACAGTCTAATTCTGTCATCGACGCTGGAGTGTAGTGACCTAATCATAGTTCCCTATAACTTTGAAGTCCTGGCTCAAGTCCTCCTGCCTCAGCTTCCTAAGTATCTAAGACTAAAGGGCACATCACCACACTTGGCTAATTTTTAAAAATTTTTTATAGGGACTGAGTTTCCCTATTTTGTCCAGGCTGGTCTCAAACTCTAGACCCAAAGTAATCTTCCCACTGCAGCCTCTCAGAGTACTTGGATTATAGGTTTGAGCTACCATACCTAGCCTACACAATATTTTTTGAATCCCTACTAAGAGCAATGATGAAACTGACAATTGTTTGTACTTTTCCCTCTGTGTTCCAACTTTATTATTTTTCTTAGTTTTGGCCCTGTGCCTTCAAGTATACTTGTATTTCTTTTTTTTTTTGGAACAGAGTCTCACTTTATTGCCCTTGGTAGAGTGCTGTGGCGTCACAGCTCACAGCAACCTCCAACTCTTGAGCTTAGGCTTGCCTCCTCTTGCCTCAGCTTCCCAAGTAGCTGGGACTATACAGGCGCCCGCCACAACACCCTTTTTTTGTTGCAGTTTGGCCGGGGGCTGGGTTTGAACTCGCCCCCCTTGGTATATGGGGCCGATGCCTTACTCACTGAGCCACAGGTGCCACCCAGTATACTTATATTTCATTTATCATCTTTAACTTGACTTTTGGATATAAGCGATGAGGTTATCAGCATGTCTAAATTACTTCCCATTTTCTCTTTACCTTCCCTTCTACACTCCAGTTTGTAACATTTGTTTTCATTGTAGTCCTACAGTTAAATAGATCATAGGCACATTACCTGTGCTTTTGTTAAAGTTTTTGTTTTTGTCCCTTGAATGGCATGAGTTCAGAAATGTTTGTGTTTCATCTTTGCATTTGTTTAATAATTTAGGTATAAAATTTGGAGTTGGCTCGGCACCTGTGGCTCAAGCGGCTAAGGCGCCAGCCATGTACACCCAAGGTGGCAGGTTCGAATCCAGCCCGGACCCGCCAAACAACAATGATGGCTGCAACCAAAAAATGGCCAGGCGTTGTGGCGGGCGCCTGTAGTCCCAGCTACTTGG